TTTCCAGGGACTGCTCCCACCTGGTAACATCGAAAGTACATGAGACAAAGTCTTGCCATCTTTGCTTCTAAGGGTCATTCTGGGTGTATTTCTCCCAAAACAGATTTGTTTGTTCTTCTGGCAGTCCATGGTATATTGATTATTGTTCACCAACACCATAATTCTAAGGCATCAACTCTTCTTTTATCTTCCATATTCACTGCCCAGCTTTCGCATGCATATGAGGCAATTTAAACACCATGGCTTGGGTCATGTACACCTTAGTCTACAGGGTGTTATCTTTACTTTTTAATACATTAAAGAGGTCTTTTGCAGCAGATTTGCTCAGTGCAACACATCATTTGATTTCTTGACTGCTATGTTGATTGTGGATCCAAATAAAAGGTAATCGTTCACAACTTTTTATTTTCTCCATTTATCACGATGTTGCTTATTGGTCCACTTGTGAGGATTTTTTTTTTTTTTTATGTTATCTACTAAGCAATACAATTGTTTTATGTGATTTTCTGTATCTGTTTTATTTTACAAAAGAAATATTTTTAAAGTTAGTTTTTATACTAGTAACTAAAATGTGAAGTACCTAAGAATAAACCGACAAGAGGTACACAGGCTGAAGAAAAGTTCCTGTTTCTGATTTGCAGTCCCAGAAAAGGGCATCCACTTCCTGGATTCATTCTCTACTTAAACTGTCTAGCTAACTACCACTGCAAGGTTGACTGTGATGTACATACTCTCTATACAATAAGACTGTTTAAATGGGCTATGGACCAGAACTTCAGTAATATAAAACTTAGTGAGAAGCATTAAGGAACCATAAATGCAGAGATATAACATTTTCATGGAAAGGAAGACTCAGTGTTTTAAAGATGCTAGTTCTCTTAAAACATGATTCAATATAATTGCAATAAAAATTAGAGGAAGATTAAGGAAACTGTCCTAGCAGATATCAAAACTTACTTTAAAACTATAGTAACAGTAACAGCGTAACTTAGTATAGAGACAGAAAAAGAGGTCATCAGAATAGAACTGAGAGCCCAGAAATACACTCTCATGCAAGATACAACAGAAATGGTGCTACAGATCATGGAGGGGTAACAGACTATTCAATAAATGAAACTAGGATAACTGGTTATCTGTATTTTAAACATATTAAATTTGATTTCAACCTTACAATATATACAAAAATAAATCTCTTACAGATTAAAGCCTTAAGTGTTAAATGCAAAACTTCAAAACATTTAGAAAATGTAGGATATTTTTACGACATCACAGAATTTCTTAAATAGGACAGAAGATAAGTCATAAATGAATATTAATTAATATTAGAGTATCTAATCACCAAAAGATCACCCACTCCCCCAAAAAAGAGCCACAAACTAGAAGGAGATATTAGTGGATGTACAGTGGATTAGTATATATACAATGGATCTTAAATATATGAGGAAAAATCAGTAAGAAAATATCTTAATATTAGGACTCAGTTTATCCTAAAGTAAACCTAATAGTATAAAAGTATCAGTCAAAGCTGGCCAAATTCTACTGCTTTTAGGATACATGTCATGGAAACCTACTTTCTGGACATTAAAACATCAAGTTTGATTTTATGATTTATAAAAACTCCATAGCCAATAAGCCATGATGTTCACTTGAGCATAACTAGCAATTTGTGATTAGAAGGCTCTCAATTTTTCCAATAAAACTTTAGGTGGCTTCCACTTTCTGACAGCTTATTCCATACACACTTTTACTACCAAGAGGGAAAGAAAGAAGGGGAAAGAGAAGAAGTACTGCAAAGACACAGGCAGGCAGTGCAGTGTGGGCAGAGCATAATGTTTACTTTCACCGTGGAAGAGCCAAAGGAAGTAAGCAAGGTCCAAAAATGTTCTTGAGGCTTTAATTATCGGTATAAAAGTTAGACATTGATGCTTAAACTTCCCTATCATTTATTATTCCACTATTCCTTTCAAAAGAGAATCATACTCCAATCTTCTTGATCCAGTTATTTTCAGGCTGCAGAAGAAAGTTTCTACTTTTGATTGGGGTCCTTGCCTGCCTGGGTACATTCTCTACTTAAAATTTCTAATTACCACTGCAATGTGACTATGATGTACATGCTCCCTATGTAACAGGTTGACTCTAAAGTTCAAATCAGTCCAAAAGGACATTTTCATCAATGAAATTCATATACCTTGATTCACTTTAGGTTTTCATGGTAATTGTTCAGCACTTTCAATGTTTTCAAATTTTATAGCATGGCTTTATCAGTGAATAAGAACTGATGTATCAAACGCCCTTATCACAGAGTTAGGAAGAATTAAGGAAGGCACCAGAGTGAGAAATGACGAAACAAGTCACTTAATTTCATTCATTTAAATGAAATGTCTTTACCGAATGGGAGAGACACTGTCCATTTTAATTTGCTTTTACACAGAACTTTCATTTTATACTCTACTTCACAATTATTAAGGCGCTCTGGTGGTGTAGTGCCTAAGGCATTTGACTGCTAACCCGAAGGCTGGCAGTTCAAACCCACCAGCCACTCCATGGAAGGAAGCCTGGGCAATCTACTTCCATAAAGATTCAACACCTTGGAAACCCAAAGGAGGTCGCTATAAGTTGGAATTGACTCACTGGCAATGAAGTTTTTTTTTTTTTTTTTTTTTGGTTCACAATTATTTATCAAAATATCTTAATATAGATCTGCAGGGTGAGCTGGAATTTTAAAACAATTATTGAGACAGATAAGAAAAAATTTAGTATCCAATACAGCTAATATGGTAGATGAGTGCTCTTGAGAGAGACTGCATTACTTAATAGCTATATGATCTTAGGCAGATTCCTTAGGTTCACAGAGCCTCAATTTCTACCTTGATCAGATTTGGTTAAAAGTACTCATTGTTAAGGATCATACACAGGGAAAAACTCCACAAAGTTCCTGAGTGATTCCAGTGAATGGTACAAACTTACTATATGACACTTAAAAAAAAAAAAAAATCTAACACTATAATCTCAGAATTCACTTTTCAATTCTCAGCATAAATCCAAAATATACTTAGTACAAAAACATGTTAAAAATACTGACCTTTGTTCATGTTAAACTGAAATAAAAAGTTAGCTATGAATCAGCTAAATTTTCTCAACAGACTCTATAAACCAAATGAGTGGGACAAGACAAACAGCAAGAAGACAAAGACTTACAATAGTCTACAAACAGGAGACATATATCACACCATTTAAAAAAGGAAGTGCGATAATGGAAGGTTTTTTTCCCTTAAAAAAAAAAAAAAAGAGGCTTGACATACAGTAAAAATAACACTTACTAGATTTTTGACCTTGGAACAAATGGCTTGATTGTTTAACAAAGTTAAATTTTAAATGAAGTAATACTTTGGACATTCACAAATTAAGATAAACCTAACTTACTATAGAGGATTATGTGAGGCAAATAAAACAATAATTACAATAACATGAATGATCATTTATCAGTGCTAATTATATCCCAGTAATTTTGTATAGGTTTTATTTGACCTTCAAATAAATCAATCAGTGAGGGGGATAAAAACCCCAAAACTGTTATCCCCACTGTCTTAAGTTATCTAGGTCTGCTATAAAAGAAATACCACAGTTGGGTGGCTTTAACAAATTTGTTTTCTCACAGTTTAGGGAGCCAGAAGTCTGAATTGAAGGCACAAGCTCTAAGGAAAGGCTTTCTCTTCTTTCCTCAGTTCTGGCAGAAGGTCCTTGTCCCTTCTGAGCTTCTGCTTCTAGGTATGCTTCATGAGGCCTGGCTTCTGTCTTCCTCCGTCTCTGCTTACTAGCTTGTGTTGAATCTCTTTTTTATCTCAAAAGGGATTGATTCAAGATACACTCTACACTAATCCTATCTTATAACAAAGACAATCCATTCCCAAATGGGCACATAACCACAAGCATAAACTGAATTGAAGAAAATGCAACCTTGTGAAGAGCTGTGGACACACAGTGTCAACATAAACACAAGATGGGGAAGTACAAATACAGCCTACTTGGCTCAGCCTCACTTTTAAAACAGGAAAAAAAAAAGTGGTAAACTAAGCTTGATAGCAACAGTCAGGAGGATTGCACTATAATTCTGTCAGCCTGAAGGTAAGTTGGTAAAATGCTAACTCAAATATTCATGACACATTTCCCTAAGAACACATCAACGCACCGTCGTCATTTTTTTTTTTTTTAAATTTTCCTTTAATTCACTATCCACTAGGACACACAGCTTCTCTATTTCCTCTCTAAATTCCTATTCAGATTGTAACTGATACTCCAGTTTTGGGGTATTAGTCATCATAAATGAACTACTAAAATAAAATCATATTTGTTAGTCTCAAGTATGTGCTAGCAGAACTTTGAAATAAAAATGTCACAAAGATAACTTCCCTTCTGGGATTGAAACAAAAACAAAAAAATAGTAGAAAAACACACAACTCTGGCACAAGTGTTAGACTAGAAAAGTCATGTCTGTTTCACACCTGCAAAGATCCAAAGTTGATGGCTTCAAGAAGCTATAAAGCCAACAATTATATTTACTCCTTTCCTATGTCAGCACAGTTTGGACATGAAGCTTTACTAATCTGAAGAGAATGGGAAGTCTACATGTTCTGCAGTAAGAGGACTCTCTCACTTTCATCATAAAAAGAAATGTTTAGTTTATGATGATTATGTACTATCAGGGGAAATGGAGCTAGTTCAACTAAAAAAAAAAAAAAAAAAAACACCCATATCAGCTTAAGCTAATGCCTTTGTATTGCTTCGTATTTTTCTCTACAGCCACTGCCAACTAAAAAGAAGCACTGTCAGCCTTTACCTTCATGCATACCTGCTACTTTTACTTCACAGAGAAAATAATTCTGACCACTAATTATTTGGTTCCAATAATACAACCCATGTAAATGTAGTAGTTGGGAGGTAACAGGTAGTTGAGAGCAAATACTTATTTTTAGAAAACTTAAAACTCATGAAAGACCTACCTTGTGAGTAGAGAAGTATCTGCATCTCTAAAAGAACACAGGTAAATACCTGCACCAGGTTCTCTAATCCCAGGAGCTCGCAGGCCTCCCGAAGAGGGTAATCAGAGAGGGGGAGTTCATTGGGCCCAGGCCTCTGACAAATGACAGGTTCATAAACACCGTAAAATTTCAGTGATCTCCCTGGAGGTGGAAGGGGCACCTCATAAAGGATATTATGGATGTAGCTCTCAAGTGGCAAGGGTGGTGGCTGCTGTGACGTAACTGCCTCATAAAGCTGGATAAGGAATTTCTTGCAGGCCTGCATGAAAGGCAGTGGTGTGATCAAGCATATACTTTTTGAAACATACAGGGTGTCTCTGCTGATGTCGTAAGAGTTGTATCTCTGGAGTTTCAAAAGGGAAGTTGTATCTCCCTCGTCAATACTGCTTGCCAGCGAGTCCATGCTGCAGGAGGACGAAGCATACACGCTGCTGTAATGCTCAGCATTGTGCATCTGGTACAGCGTCTGCATTGCTGTGCAGATCTGCTTGCTTGTAACTTCTTCATAAAAAGTGAGAACAAAACCGTAGGTACGAGAACCATCTTCCCGGGTAATTATAAATGAGTGGAACTGAGGATCTTTATTGTCAGTTTGTGTTCTGAAAGATAGCCCTTTAGGCATACACAACTGTGGAAAAAGGGGGAAACTTTCATCAGAATCCAGTACACAAATAACTTCAAATCAGAAAAATGTTTTTTTCAACATTAGCAGGACTCAGAGTGATACAGGTTTTACCCAGATTTAACTGTTATTAGCAGTAGCCTTAAATTAAAACTATAAATACATATAAATAAAATTATTCTTAAAGGGATTATATATACATATATGGAAAAAAGCATCTTTAATGCATGGTAAGAAGACTGCACTAGGAGTAAGAAAATCTTGTATTTAGTTTCAACATGCATTTAACTAAGCTTGTAACCTTCAGAAAGTCATGTAACTTTTCTGGGTCTTGGTTTTTTTTTTTTTTTTTTTTTAATTGGGATTTGGGTGAAAGTTTATAGATCAAATTGGTTTCCCATTCAACAATCCATACACATTCTGCTTTGTGACATTTATTACAATCCCAACACTATAACAGCATTCTTACTACTTCCTCTCTGAACTCCCGCCCCTTCCTTTGTTCTCCATCTCACCCCTTCCAGCCTTTCCTAGCTTTATCCCTGGGCAAAGCCTCCTGATCTCATATGTATGACTGCTGTAATGAGTTCATACTCTCCTGGTGTTACTGTTCACCTTATAAGTCTAACGTTTGGCTGTCAGTTGAGTCACAGGGGTTAAGTTCAGTTCCTACCTTGGAGAGTATCTAAGGGCCACAGTCTCATGAGTTCCACCTGTCCTTATCAGACCAGTAAGCCTGGTCTTTTTTTGATTTTGAGTTTTGTTCTACATTTTGAGGGTTTTTTTTTTTTTTTTTTTTTTCCATCTATAATATCAATGTCTTGAAGAGAAAGTGTTCAAAAGCTCTTCAAAAATATTTACTATTTCAGTACAATTTTGGTAGTAATAATAGTAAAGTTACTTATCAATAGGAAAATAAATGAAGGTATAAGTTGGTAAGTGGAAAAAAAAAGTTAAAAACAATGAACAACAATATCATTATTGTGAATATTATCATCCTTCATTTCAGAAAATAACCTTTGAAAAGGGAAAGGTTTTTGATTTATGAAGCAGAAGGGCAGAAACAAGGTATTTTAGTTTATTCCCAGCAGAGATGATGCTCTCAGTCCTGTGAACTACCCAAGATTGTGTCAAGCTTGGGAACAAAATTATTTAGGGAGTTAAAGGTGTTATATTTGAAGCCCTTAAAATACACAGTAATTAGGACTGATTCTTTAGAACATTTCATTAATTTTTCTTTAAAACATTATAAATGAAAGAAATAAAAAATTATAAAAAATTAAAAACATAGTAAGGGAAACAAAACTTGTAATTCAATTTATTCTAACAATGAACATTTTTATATATTCCTTAACACTTCTGTAAGGAACACTGGTGGCACAGAGGGTAAGTCATTTGGCTGCTAACCAGAAGGTCAGTGGTTCAAACCCATCAGCTGCTCTGTGGGAAGATGAGGCAATCTACTTCCGTAAAGATTTACAGCCTTGGAAACCCAATGGGGGGGTCACTAAGAGTTGGAATCAACTTAATGGTAGTGGGACTTCTACTTCTGTATTGCAATGAGTTTTCTGCATAGAAATAATAATTTTGTCATATATTATTACATTTTAAATATTTTTCAAACTTAATATCCAATCTGGTACAAAATTCAAAGTTCTCCCAAATCCCCACATGACCAGGAAAAACTTAATTCATCTTGGAACTGTCAACAAACATTTATTAAGTGCCTATCATAAGCTAGGCCCTGTAATGGTAACCTAATAGTGAGAAACATACACGTTGTCTCTGCTCCTACAGAGCTTCCAAGTGTAGTAAGGAAAAGAGATTAATTTAAAAATAATAAATTATACTATTTGGAAAGTGCCATGTCAGAAGAGGAAGAAGAGGATAATAGGAAGTCTCTGAAGGGTTTTTAGCAGGAAAGGGACAGGATTAGACCTTCCTTTTAATGCACTGAAAGGCAGTGGTTTTCAAACAGGGCTCTAAGGAAGGAAGGAACATGGAATGGAAAGATATATGATAATAAAGTATGATTAAAAACATCTATTTTTAAATCACAATAAAAAATATATTCAGAATCAAATAACTTCTATCTTCATTCTTCAATATTTTCTGTTTTCACGGTTTATCATAATGATGCTTCTTGGTCCAGGTGTGAGGATTTTTGTTTCCTTTGTGTTGAGGTGTAATCCACACTGAAGGCTGTAGTCCTTGACCTTCATCAGTAATGCCTCAAGTCTTCTTCACTTTCAGCAAGCAAGGTAGTGTTGTCTTCATACCACAGGCGGTTAATAAATCTTTCTCCAATTCTTCTTCTTCATATAGTCCAGCTTCTCAGATTACTTGCTTAGTATACAGATTGAAAAAGTATGGTGAAAAGATACAACACCGATACACACTATTCCTGATTTTAAACCATGCAATATCTCCTTGCTCTGTCCAAACAACTGCCTCTTGGTCTATGTACAGGTTTCACATGAACATAATTAAGTGTTCTGGAATTCTCATGTTTCAAATAATGTATTGCATCAGGCAAATTTCACCACTCATCTATCAATCTGTCCTACTGTGGTAGCCTGTGTGTTGCTGTAAGGCTGGAGGCTATACTACGGGTATTTCAAATACCAACAGGGTCACCATGTTAGACAGGTTTCAGTGGAATTTCCAGACTAAGACAGACTTGGAATAAGGAAGGGTATACAGAAGTGAAACACTATCTGATGTATTACTGGAAAACATTATGAATAGCCCTGAAACACTTTCTGATATTTTGCCAGAAGATGCCCCTAAAGTTGGAAGGCACTCAAAATATGGCTGGAAAAGAGCTGCCACTTCAAAGTAGACTCAACTTTAATGACATCAATGGAGTAAACCTTTCTGGGCCATTTGCTGATGAGGCATGACTCAAAATGGGAAAAAACAGCTGCAAACGTACATTCATAATCAGAACATGGAATGTACAAAGTATCAATGTATGAAATTGGAAGTTGTTTAAAACAAAATGGAAAACATAAAAAGCGATAATGAAGAAGGGTATGCATCAAAGTTGCATCCTTTTACCATGCTTATTCAACCTGTATGCTGAGCAAATAATCCAAGAATCTGGACTATACAAAGAACAACGCAGCATCAGGATTGGAGGAAGACTCATTAACAATCTGCAATACGCAGACAACACAACCTTGCTTGCTGAAAATGAAGATGACTTGAAGCAGTTACTGATGAAGATTAAAGACTTCTGTCTGCAGCATGGATTATACCTCAACATAAAATGAAAATCCTCAAAACTGGACCAATAAACAACTTTACAATACACAGAGAAAAGACTGAAGCTGTCAAAGGTTTCATATTACTTGGATCCACAGTTAACATCCATGGAAACACCAGTCAAGAAGTCAGATGTTCTATCGCACTGGGCAAATCTGCCACAGAAGACCTCTTCAAAGTGCTGAAGAGCAGAGATGTCTCTGAAGACTAACTCAAGCCGTGGTATTTTCAATTGCTTCATATACATGTGAAAGCTGGACAATGAATAGCATAGTGCCTAAGGCACCTGGCTGCTAATCAGAAGGCTGGTGGTGCAAACCTACCAGCCACTCCTCGAAAGGAAGGTTGGGCAATCTACTTCCATAGTGATACTGCCTCGGAAACCCAAGGAGGGGTCGCTATGAGTCGGGTCCAACTCAATGGCACATAACAACATCAACAACAAGAAGAGTTGTAGCTTCTGAAGAGTTGCGGTGCTGGCAAAGAATACTTGAAAGTACCATGTAATGCCAGAATGAACAAATCTGTCTTGGTGGTAGTGCAGTCATTATGCTCCTTGGAAGCAAGAATGGTCAGACTTTGTCTCACCTACTTTGGTCATGTTGTCAGAAGGGACCATTTCCTGGAGAAGGATATTGGAGGGTCAGCGAAAAAGGGAAAGACCCTCAACAAGATGGATTGACACAGTGGCTGCAAAGATGGGCTCAGGTATATCAAGGATTGTGAGGATGGTGTACGAATGGGCAGTGTTTCCTTCTGTTGTGAGTTAGAGCCAACTCAAGGACCCCTAACAATAACAACAACAACACTGGACAAATATGCAAAAGACCTCTTGAAAGTGTTAAAAAGCAAAAATGTCACTCTGAGGACTAAGGTATACCTGACCCAGCCACGGTGTTTGCAATCACCTCAGATGCATATGAAAGCTGAAAGTGAATTTAGAAGACTGAAGAAGAATTGATGCCTATGAATTATGGTGTTGACCAAGAATATCCTGGTAGCGTAGTGCCTAAGGCACTTGACTGTTAACCAGAAGGCTGGTGGTTCAAACCCACCAGCCACTCCTTGGAAGGAAGATTGGGCAATCTACTTCCGTAGTGATACTGCCTCAGTAACTCAAGGAGGGGTCACTATGAGTGGGGTCTGACTTGACAGCACATAACAACAACAACAACATAAACAAACCTGTCTCAGAAGAAGTACACCGTGTTTTCATAAATAAAGTTTTATTGGAACACTGCCATGTCCATTAATTTATGCACTGTGTATAGCTGCTTTTATGCTACAATGGCAGAGCTGAGTAACTGTGACACTGTATTGCTCATAATCTCTGAACAGTTTACTATCTGGCCTTTGCAGAAAAAAAAAATTTTCTATCTTAATTCTATAGTGCTGCTATAACAAGAATACCACAAATGGGTAACTTCAACAAACAGGAATTTATTATTTTACAGTTGAGGAGGCTAAAAGTCTGAATTCAGAGTGCTGGTTCTAGGGCCTAGGTAAAGGCCCCTCGACCTTGGGCTTCAGTTCTATCTCTTGTTCACAATGTCAGCAGGTGAAAATGGCACAATCCCAAGATCATGAGATAACATGGCAGGCCACTGGTTCAACTCCAGGAACTGAAGATGAAGACTCAGCCAAATGCAGAAACCAAATGTACGAAAAAGCTCAAGACCATTCCCAAAGCTTCTCCATATATCCTGGAAGCAGGCCACACCCCAAAGGTAACTCTCCTT